TTTTTTTTTTCCCCCTGTAAATTTTTGTTTTGTTATTGAGAGTATGCACAGTAAAACCCACACCAATCCAACAATTTCTAAAATGTTTACTCTTTTAAAACAATTCACGGGGAATGTGCTATTCCGTAAGGAACGCTAAGTGGTCCCCACTGGTTGGTTGGTTGGTTTTTAGAATATTGTGACAGGGGAGAGGTTTAGTCATTGGCTGACATGATAAGCTACTGCTCCTTCCCACTAGGGACTCTCATGCAGCACAGGTAAAAAAGGTGCTCGCTTTTTACCAGGAGAGAGAATTTGGGCCCTGCTAGTCTGTCCAGGTGTTTCCTGCCAATGGGCGTGTGCTACTTGGGAGGCATTCAGAGCTCTGGTTTTTTAAACTGAGATTTTAGTTCTGTTTTGTTTTTGTTTTGTTTTCTGTTTTTCCTCCATCCTGTTTTCCAGGGGGCCCTCGAGGAGCAGCTGGCCCTGACCGGGGATGGCGCCTACAATGCACACTTTGGAGAGAGCATCGCCAGTCTAGGTGACCTTGATGATGATGGGTTCCCAGGTCAGTGGTTCCCTCCTGCTGTGTATGGGAAACTGCCCCCACTGAATTGCAGCAGCCAGACTCTCACTTCACAACTCAATCAATGCTCCTGGCTCAGCCTGCTGGCGTCAGCTCCATCTGCATGCTCTGAGGAGGGATGGCTACTCTTAGTGGAGTTGGTCTCCACCTAGAAATTTAAGGCTCAGCTCTGAATTGCTGGTTGGGTTTCTGTGTAACCCTGTCTGTTCAGTTCATTGCTCTTTGCAGTGTGTTTAGGGTGGCAGTGAACCTTGGGACTGGTTCATCTGAGGACTTTGTGGCAGAGAAGTTTGAACCAGCTTCCTCTCTCCACAAACTCTTTTTGCTTCTGAGACTTTGACCCTCTACCATGTCCTTAGTGAAATCGAGTGAGAGGTGTATCATATGTTTTCTCTCCTCATAATGACAGCATGCTGGACTGACTTTCGAAATGGTGTGTGTGTGTCTGTTTATCTTTGGATAGTGTCGAGGACTGGCCTTGACAGGGGAGTTCGGTTCACGAAGTAGGGAGATCTGGGGGCGACAGAGACAGAAAAAGAGTACACACAAAAACGCAACGAGAGAAACAAAGAGACACTCCGAAACTAGAGTGGATGCAAAACTGACGGGCAGACCCTGGACTACAGGCATCGTGGCCCCTACAGGCAGTAATGCACAGCCAGCCCTGCAGGCAGTAATGCATGCAGGCTTCAGTCTGCACCCCCTTTTTATTTCAGGGAGGGGCTTTACACAAAGGCAGAAGGGGATTATTAAAACAGGGTACAGAAATGAAATGTGATTAATCGTTCAAAACAGGACACAATGATCTATAGGAACAAATTCTAAAACATAACATCACAAATTGTCTTGATAATCTAAATCCTTAATTTTCTAGAAATTCAAGCAAATTGTTATAAATTACTTTTTAGGTTTGAATCCCAAGGCAGCAGCTCAAGGTTTCTCCAGGCTAATTAACATACCTATAGCTCTTAATCTCTAATAGGTAAAGGTGAAAAGGATTCAAAAGGTCTAGAAGGAGTCCAGCTGTTTCAGCTACCTGGCCTAGGCTTGCAGGAGGAAGGAGGATGCCTAGGTTAATGGTTTGCACCTGGGGACGATTTGAGAAGGCTGTCACTATTGTTCCTTGAACAATATGCCAGAATTTGCCAATCTACTTTGAGTGAATTCCTTGGGCAGACTGTCTCCAGAGTTTCCCAGCAAACTTGCCTTTGGAACTTTTTACAGCCTCGACTTTAGGAGGGGTTTTTGTTTTAATACTTGTCCATGGGTATCAAGGGCTCATGTATTAAGTTAATATCAAACATAACTGAATAACTTGATAAAGAACAGTTTTGCCATGCTTGCCAGGTGGCCAGAGTTTGTTCCTCATAGAGATTTGTTCCCAGGACCTTATGCACTGCCAACACAGTGGAGACATTAAGAGAGGCACATAAGAAACCATTTTCTCAGAAGCTACAATTACTGGAGTTCAAAGCATAGAATGGATAATAGGACCAAAGAAAATTATACAGAGCTAGCCCCACAATGAGTTCGTAAAAGCCAATGAACCCAGGACATCCGGAGGTTACTTCTTTAGGCCCTCAGGGTCCCTGGCTAGCCATCCTGAGTGGGGCCATCGTGTAGGATTTTCGTCCATGACATAGGGCCTCAACACCTCAGTGATCGCGGTCCCCAACAGGATAGCAGTATTGTGAGAATTTTTGCTTCTTGCTGTACCTGTGTAATGGCTCCTTCTCTCACTGTGTGAGTACTTTATAGCCATTGGCACTGTGGGAGGCAGCTCTTGCCTCAGGCCAGATCCTCAGGCTCCCTTTGTAGCCTCATATCATGGGCAGGGAGAGCTTCTTTCAGAGAGTGAGTTCCTCGTCTTGAGTGAGATTGTGTGGGTGACATGTCTCTCACCCTTGCCTTCACTTATGCAAAGACATGACTTTTGTTAGAAGCAAAGGGAAAACCTTAAGGAAGCTGTAGACATTGTCCCAGAATTTGTCAACTTATGAGAGTAACATTTTTTTTTTTTTTTTTTCCCAGAATTTGTCAACTTATGAGAGTAACATTTTTTTTTTTTTTTTTTGTAAATTGAATGCCTTCTATAAATTTTCTTTAATTAGGAATCGAGTTGTTGTTGTTGTTATGCGCTGTGGAGTCAGTTCCGACTCATTGCGACCCTATACAGGGTTTCCAAGGCTGTAAATCTTTATGGGAGCAGAATCGAGTTGACTTTCTCATTATTCAGTAATCATCATATATAGAATTCACGTTTCTGACAAGACACAAATTAGAGTAGATTTTATATTTACATTTCATCTTTTGGTTGGGTAGAGAGCTTTCTGGAACAAAACTCTTCTCAGCTTCTCTAGTTTTCTTTCTACTAAAAGACTGTTCTAGTTACCTACTGCTGCTATAAGAAAACTATCACAAGTGGATGACTTTAACAAACAGAATAAAAATGTATTCTCTCAAAATTTTGAAAGCTAGACGTTTGAATTCAAGGGGTCAGCTCTAGGGGGAGACTTTCTTTATCTGTTGGTTCACAGTTTAGGAGAGAGTACTTGTCTACACTTTGCCTCTGTGGGTCTGAGATTCTTTGGAGTTCTCCATGTGTCTTGGCATCAGTCTTCCCCCAGAACTAGGAGCTTCTCATCACAGGGCCCAGGCCCAAAGGACTCACTGCACTCCTAGATCTTATTCTTTCTTGGTGGTAGAAGATACTTTTTCCTTTGCTCTCTTCTCTCTCTTTCATCTCTTGTAAGAGAAAAGGTGATACAGCACCCACCCCCACCATGAAAATCCCCTGACATGGATCAGGACTGTGACCTGAATAAAGATGCTGTACCGTCTCCCTCCACCCTCCATCTCCTTAAACCTGATTGGCTGTTCACATCATGGGGGAATTACTGCATCATTATATAACTGCCAAATTACATCATTACCTAACTGCCAAAACCACTAAGAATCATGACCTAGACGAGTTGACATATATTTGGGTGGGGGTGGGGGGGCACAATTCAACATATGTCAGAGACCATGTGCTTAAGTTAATGATTGAATAATCAATAACCAAGAACTTTCTGGTATCGGAATTAGGCACTCACCCTTATACTCATGTTATTCCGCGTCACTTTTCTAACCAACAGCTGTTTGTCTCCCCTCAGATGTGGCCATTGGCGCACCCAAGGAGGATGACTTCGCAGGGGCAGTATATATCTACCATGGTGATGCCAGTGGGATAGTCCGTCAGTACTCAATGGTAATTGGTGTCAAAGTGACATAGAAGTTGTTTGTCCATTCAGTGTGCAGACATGTACAAAATCTTAACTATGTGTCAGACCCTGGGGGTACATAGAACATACATGGCTCCTGCTTTCAGCCTTCCCATGCTCTAGTAACCAAATAGGTACCATCGATACTGTTCATTAAGAACAAAAACAGCCAGTAGAATCCTGAGTTTACTCACATAAAGTCAGGGATATGAAGTCTTGGCTTCTAACTACAAAAGGCTATGTCCAAATTTTATCATTTTGAGTAAAGCTGTTTATTTAAGAGGAGATTTTCTTTTCTTGGCTACTCCTCTGAGGTCAACCACATGCGTTAGACCAAAAGAGTATGATTGGAGATGTAATCTAAAGAGGCAATGGCCCCTAAAAGAGAGGCCGTATCACGGAACTGTTGTCACACTTGGCATCAAACCCAGAAGCTTGTCACAGCTCTGGCCTTGCGACCCAGACTTGGGAACATGGAAGTGGTGAGTTCTGTTTTTTTTGCTGTATCAGCTTGGTGTTCAATCTTGCTGATGGTGTCAAGCTCAGTCCATGGGAAAAAAGGAAGTCACACTCTTGACAGAAGCATTGTCAGGATATTTGTGGACGTTCGTAATTAGAGTGGAACAGGCCTAAGTCTTTCTCCCAATGGGTCCATGACAAAGAGGGATTAAGCACAAATCGGGAACATTTCAATCAGCAAATATTTACTGGTTGAGCACTTATTGTATGCTATACAATATATTTGTATATTGTATATATACAAAAAAATAAACTTACAGTATATTTGTATAGCATACAGTATATTTGTATACAATATATTTGTATAGCGTACAGTAAGTTTATTTTTCTCATCACAAAGAAGCTTGCTTAAACAAGCCCCTTATCTTGATCATGGCTAAGGAAGCAGAACTTTTAACTGAGTCTTTTCTTTGGCTATGAAATGATGTAGTAGTAAAGCATCCAGCCCCGTTCATGTACCAAAGTCTCTGGGTAAGCTAAAAGACTTAGTTTACAAATTAATTTTAGGAGGTAGAATGTAAACCTCTTGGCTCCTGGTGTGGCACTGTAGGATCAACACTGGAATGTGAAGCACAAGGTTGGCAGTTCAAATCCACCAGCTACTGTTTGGAAACCCTTTATTGGGTCACTAAGATTTGAAATTGACTCGATGGCACTTAACAACAACACCATGTAAACTGAAGTACAATTTATATATTCTTCAATTGTTCTTTCCTGCTGTAGGAATCAGGTAGCTGACTGAAGGTTGAGGATGGTTGGCTGGTTTGTTACCAGTGGAACTTTGGGTTCCATCTCTTAAGGCCCCTCTGCTCAGCTCAGTTTCAAGCCTACTAGAGCATGCTTCTGGAGTTTCAGGACAAGCTCCACAATATGTACTCTACCCCTTGCATTCCTCCTACAACAGCCATGTGAGATGGGCACATTGATCATCTCTCCTTTATCTCTGAGGCAATACAGCACAGGGGGGTTATTTCACTTGCCCAGGGTCACCAGCTAGTAAGCGGCAGTATGGATGACTCCCAAACCTTTTTATTGTAGCTGCCACCTTCAACTCCACACTGGAAACCTAAACACTAAGGGAAGCCCAGTAGGCGAGCTTGTGGGGCCATGTAAATTGAAGGTAGTTCAGTGGCAGAAATCTCACCTTCATGGAGCCCTGGGGTGGCGCTGTGGGTTAATGAGCTAGACCACAAGGTCAGTTTGAACTGTCAGGTTGGTGGTTCAAACTCACTGGCTGCTCGTCAGAAACCCTATACAGGATGGCTATGAGTCGGAACTGACTCCACAGCACTTAACAACAGTAGCATGTGGAAGACCCAGGTTCGCTTTCCAGACTATGCCCTTCATGTGCACCCACCTCCCTTCTGTCTGTGGTGGCTTGCGTGCAGCTGTGATGTTGAGCAGGTTTCACGGAGCTTCTAGACAAAGCTGGCTTAAGAAAAGAGGCCTGGTGAGCTACTGCCAAAAATCAGCCAATGACAAATCTGTGGACCCTAACATTCTGATCCACAAGTGGTCAGGGGCATGGCACAGGTCTGGAAAGACAGCCTTTCATTCCATTGTGAATGGGGTCACCATGAGTTGGGGTCCAACTTCATGATCACTAACAATAAATGTAAGGGTGTCCACCATGAGGCATACTCTGAGGCTTTTTTTATCTACATTAGAAATAAACAACAAAAATCAGTATCGGGAACAGTAACCCCTTAGGTAATTTAGCTATGGTAGAAGAAAGAGGGTTTTGAGCACAGTGAGAGGACACATCTGTGTCACCAGAGCTGCCCTTTTCTGGGCCAGAGACACTGTTCACAATGAAGTAAGCTGCAAACTATTGAGAGTGTCAGTCCTCAGCAGGCTGATCAGGCCTCGGTCGGGGTCATCCTCCACGCATCCTCCTGGAAGCTTGGTCCAGGGCCTCGGAAGCTAATCACACAGACAGGCAACCTGTGAAGGGATGGTACTTCCCTCCTCCCCAGGCCGAGGCCTTCCAATGTTTTGTTTTGTTGCTGGGTGGAATCCCTGCAGAGAATTGAAGTACACATTTTGTGGTTAGCCTGGAGTGTCCTTGGTAGGAAGCAGGGATCAGCATCTGGAACCGTCCCGCCTTTGTCAGCAGGCACGCTGACATTCTCACATTGACAGAGAGAAGTGGTTTTGTGCTCTTAAAAAAAAAAACCAAAACCAAACACCAAAAGTACCAAGACCAAAAATTGAAGCAGCTATGATGATTATACTTTTCCAAGCTGCTAATATGTGTATGATAAGGTCACTGATTAAGAAAGTAATAAGAACCCTTTAATTCTTCTGGACCCAGGTCCTAGGACAGAGCAGGCATTGTGTGGGTGAACTAGAGGAAGAATTCTCCAATTCCAGAAGAAATCTCTGGGCAATGCAATTGCTTTTCTTTGGCCCAGATTGGTATTATTTCTGCTGCATAAATAGTGAGATCAGGGGCCCAACTTCTTCCACATTCCTCTTTAACTCTTTCCTCTTCCTCATGTTCATGACGAAGAGTGTTGACTTTAAGATCCTTGTGTGCCTTTCTCCATTCTAAAGCCCTCTGGGCATGTGCTGGCGGCTTCTGTGATCTTTCTACTGCCTTAGCGGACAGTGTGTATAAACCTGGTCAAGTGGGGGTTTTCCAAGGCTCCTGGTTTTCATTTAGGGTTATTAGCACTGAGCAGACTTATCTTCCTGGCTTTATAGCATAATGGCCTGCAGATGTCTGTGGGATAACTTGAACCTGCATCGCCACCCCCAAATGGTCCACCCCTTCACTCTTCTCTCTCGTCCCAGCCGCAGCAGAGCTGGCAGAGACAGTCCCAGAGCAAGCTGCTGCCAATGTTCTCAGACTTTAGAGCTGCGACGGTCTGCGTGACATGGTTTTGAAGAACGTTTGTAAAACGCGTACGTGTTTGTTTAGTTGGAGCCATGTGGGATGTGGGCATTGACTGTTAGCAACAGAATTTCTTTGGTGTTTCCTACAGTATTCTGATTTGTATTTTGATTCTCTGCATGTTTCCTGTGGCTTAATTGAAAATGGCAAGCGGTCTTCTCAGATCATTTCAAGGAGGGCCATTTGCAGTTAATCGTCTTCTGGCAGTGAAGAGTGTGGCTCTGGTGTCTCTCTCTGTGGATCCTGTGGAAACTCTCCTCCCCCCATTGGTGACTTCTCTGCAGGGTGACTCAGTAAGGAAAAGGATAAGGAAGTAAAGTCCAAAGTTAGCCCCTGAATCTCTATAAACTTTGGTTCTGTCGTACAAAAACAAAAGCATTTCTGTAGGCCTCCACCTTGAGAGCATTAAGAAGTCAGTCTCCCCAAGAAAACTGTGAAGATAAAGGGAAGAAGGGACAGGTCAGTTTCCGGAATATGGGACTTTTCTGACTCAGGAAGTTGGGTACTTTTGTGATCCCCTTTGTATGTAAACCGCTTTACACAGACTGCTTCCACGTAAGGAAGCCTGGCTGTACAACAGATACTTGTGAACCACTGCAGCATGTGTTAATGTGTTGAACTTAATGGTGAATGAAAAGCAAGCACTAATGTTGGTACACTCCAGGGGTGGAGCCTGTATTTTAAGGAGGAAGGCTGAGCGTCAGAGTTTAATAATTTCCTACTGTTTATAAAAGGTTCAGAACCTGGGGGTTTAAGATGTTAAGTGTTGTTTGGTCAGTTTTAGCTCATAGAGACCTTGTATAGGGTTTTGAGGAGTGACTGGTGGGTTTGAACCACCAACTTTGCAGTTAGCTGTCCAGTGCTTATTCTACAGTGCTTTACCAGAACTCCAACTACACTTGCTGTTGTTGTTGTTGTTAAGTTCTGCTGCTCGTCAACTCTGACTCATAGTGACCCTGTATAGAGTTTCCAAGGAGAGGCTGGTGAGTTTGGACCACAGACTTTGTGGTTCAAACTGACCATGCAGTTGGGTTCTTACCCTATAGCTCCACACCAGGACTCCTCAGATAAACTAAGTAAAGGTATTGAATCCTGCTGTGATCAGCTGCTAGAGATTGGTGGTTTGAACCCACTTAACAGTTCCTTGGAAGAAATGCCTAGCGAACTGCTTCCGTAAGATTACAGCAGATGACAACACCACCACCAAAAAACACCACCTTATGGAGCAGTTCTGTTCGGGAACACCTGGATTTGCTATGAGTTGCAGTGGTCTTGATGGAAATGGCTTTTTGTTTCATGTAAAAGTTAGGAGCCGATAGATTCTTTGTGACTTAATTGAGAGGTGATTTCCAGATCGTCATCTTTTCCAGCTGAATGTGTTAATTATCTGTCCATCTAGGGAGAGACCCTTTAATGAGTGCCCCTTAGGAGATGTGTGTTAAATGTTTAGTCAATATCTGGGTAGAGAGAGATAAGGCAAATATGTCCTTAGCATTTTCCTAAGATGTTAAGTGCTGCAGAGGTGATTCCGAGGCATATCATCTCTACAGAAACATATCACTTCTGTTTCAAAGGACTTCCTGGTGCGTTTGAACTGCCTACCATGTGGTTAGCAGTCCAGTGCTTATCCTACAGCGCCACACCAGGTTAAATATACTAGTATAAAAACAAAACCTTCACTAAAGATGCAAGATAACTTTGCTCATCTTGAACCTCAACATGTCAAAACTGTATCACAACAGTGGGAATCCACCAGCCTCACTGAGGGAGAAACATGAGGCTTCCTGCTCTTGTTAAGATTTGTAGCCTTGGAAACCCTACACAGGATTGCTATGAGTCTGAATGCACTTGGTGGAACGTCACAACTGCCTGCCACCACCATGTGCTCTTCAACAGTCTGCTAGATACCTCCCCCTTATCAGAATTAGAGCTATTTTTTTTTTTCTTTCAGTAATTTCAATACCAAGTGTCCTAGTGAAGCTGAGATAAAAGGGTCAAGAGTTTTTATTTGTGACTCTGATCCCATCCGGTGACTCAATTTCCCTATGGTTTGTTTTAGAAACTGTCTGGGCGGAAGATAAATCCAGTTCTACGGATGTTTGGTCAGTCCATATCAGGAGGCGTTGATATGGATGGAAATGGCTATCCCGGTAAGCTATTTTTCTTTAATGTAACATGAGATAAAGTAAGATAAATGCAGGAGGCAGAATAATTTGCAGTCTGTTCAGCAGTCATTATATCCGTTGATGACTAGTAAAAGCCATATGATACTAGTATGTGGGTGTTTTTTCTGGTGTTTGATTTTAAAGGAAAAATAATAATGAACTTTATTTTGGGGTTTTAAGATGATCTAGTGGGAAGAATTTAAACATCAGGAGGGTGGAGTTTTATAGACATTTCGGTGGCAGTATTCTTTCCAATGAAGAAAAAGTTTTGTCCATGTTTGAAGGTTTAAACCGCAGAATAAAATGCAGGAAATTTGGGATGAGTATTTTGGTTTTTTTTTAAAAACCATTTTTAGAGGCTTCTGATTTTTAGTATGAGAGCGGGGAGAGCTAATCAATACGTTTCCCACCCCACCCCTAAACAAGTTACTGAAAGGTCTGATGGGCAAGCACTGTTCACGACTGGCTGGCTTGTCTTCAGGGTTAATTAATGACTTGTGGTCACTGAGACTAATTGAATAAAACTGTTTGATTTTAAATTCCAACCCCAAGTGATATTCCATTTAAGTAAAATTGCCCAGGCAATGGGTTAGTTGTTCCTTAGGCATTTGAAGAGATGGAGTGGGGTCAGGTGAGGAAACAAATAAAGAATGTGAGAAAATTCTAAATCATTATGGAATTCAGAAAAAAAAAAAAAATCCCTGAAAATGTAGGTCAACTTGCCTTTGAGAAAACTTGTCTTTCAAATGCCTTGGACAGGTCTCAGGCACTCAGACAACAAATACAGTTCTGCAGGGGAACACCAGCTCTTGTTTCTTATGGACAGGAGTTTGTATCTTCCTTGGCGACTTTTTAGAACCACAAACAGCAAGGGCTCAGTGCTGGGGAGTTTGTCCCAAGACAGACCCTCATGGGTCTTTTTAAGTTGATAAGGCAGTTCTGAGCAATTCATGGTCATCTCTAAATAATACTTTATATTGGATTAGCACAAATTGCTTCCATCTGTGATGTTTGTCTTCTAGTAAACTCAGTAGGTGGGTACCGATGGGATATTCTCCATGCTTTATAGACAAGGAAACTGAGAGGACAAGGGCTGACCTGAGATCCCATGATGGACATGGACCCAGGCTTCCCAGCAGTCCAGCTGCTTCCCTTTAAATACAACACAGGTCTGCTTGTATCTCACATCGGCTTCTGAGTTTTTTATGTTGCATTTTTCATAAATGGATGACAAATTCATCATCGATTTAAAAACTTCAAATATCAAAATTAATTTTTAAAGATTATTTGAAGATAGCAAGCAGCACACCAGAGTGTACTGTGTAGCACTGTAATTCATGCAAGGAACCCTAGTGGGACTGTCGGGGAAGCACCCCAAAGATTGAGGTTTAAACCTACCAGCTGTCTGAGGGAGAAAGAAGAGGCTTTCTGCTCTGGTAAAGATGTATAGCCTTGGACATCCTGCCCAGGGTTGCTATGAGTTGCAGTGGATTTGAATTTGGTTTGATTATGCATGCATCTTCTCTGTGCCTATCCTTAATAAGGACCTCATATGTCAGCCTTCTTTTGGTGGCCTACAAACTCATACCCTTGAATTCATCTGCTTGATTCTGTAAAGTAGCAGTGGAAATCCCAGGGCTAAGGTAGTTAGTTACATTAGGGGACAGAAAGACAGGAGGTAGAATATTTCAGTGGGAAAGGTTTGAGTTTTGCATCAGAAGGCTGGGCTTTACAGACATTTCTGTGGCAGAAATATCAATGAAAGATATTTAGGAATAAACATCATTGTGCCAGTTAACACTTGTGTCCTGGCTTACACTTTATCAGGTATTTTCTTGCATGGTATATGAGTTGAATATCAACTTTTGAAGCAGATGTTTGTGAGTTATGAGTCATTTCTGACTCTTAGTGATTCTATGGGACAGAATAGAATGTCCCATAGGGTTTCCTAGGCGGTAATCTTGTGTCTTGGATGAGTTACAGCCAGGAGGCTCCTTAGAATCAAGGATAGTGAGACATTATTGTTGTTGTTAAGTGCCGTCGAGTCGGTTCTGACCCATAGTGACCCTGAACAGAGTTTCCGAGGCTGTAAATCTTTACGGGAGCAGAAAGCCTCAGCTTTCTCCCACGGAGCAACTGGTAGTTTCGAACTGCTGACCTTGTGGTTCGCAGCCCAATTCGTAACCACTTTGCTACCAGAGCTCCTTTAGTGAGACATAGTCTAACTTATTTTGAATATGTTAGCAGAAGGAACATACTGGGTAAAGTCTAGAGGGTCAGCTAAACAGAGGAACATCTTCAACAAGATGGATCGAGAAAATAGGTACAACAGTGGGCCCAAACGTATCAACCACTGTGGGACCGCCGTACGACTGGACAGTGTTTCATCCTGCTGTACGTAGCGTCACTAAGAGTCAGAACTGAATAGCCACAGTAATTTTTATGGGAGCACATCTTTAGGTCTTAACCTTCTGCAGAGCTGCTGGCGAGTTTGTGTAAACCGCTGACCTCTTGGTTAGCAGCCACGTGCTTAATAAACCATTGTACCACCGGGTTCCTTTTAGAGAAGATAAAACAACAACAAAATCCCACTATCGTCAAGTCTATTCTGACTCTTAATGACTCTCTATAGGGATTCCAAGGCTGTAAATCTTTATGGGAGCCCAAAGCCTCATTTTCCTCCCAAGGAGTGACTTGTGGATTTGGACTGCTGACTCTGTGGTTAGCAGTCCAGTACTTATCCTACAGTGCCACCAGGCTTCCTCCGAAGAAGATTAGAAAAACCCCACAAAAACCACTGCCATCAAGTCAGTTCCGACTCGGTTTTGACTCATAGCAACTCTGTCTGTATAGGGTTTCCCAGACTGTAAGTCTTTAAAGGAGCTGAAAGCCTCATCTTTTTCCCAGGGAACAGCTGGTGGGTTTGAACTGCCAATCCTGTGGTTAGCATTCCCGTGCCTATCTTACATTGCCACCAGGGCTCCTTTAAAGAAGATTTGTTTTGTTGCTGTTAAGTGCTGTCAAGTTGGTTCCAGCTCATAGTGACCTGGTATAGGGTTTCCAAGGAGTGGTTGGTGAATTTGAACCACTGACCTTGTGGTTCCAACCGACCTTGTGGTCCTGTGCTAATCCTACAGTGTCAGGATAATTATCCTCATTTTATAGACAAGGGAACTAACTGTGTGAGAGGCCGAGTGACTCTCAGGTCCTATTGGGTGAGTGGTAGAGTGCTGAGGTGCTCTACAAGACCTAAAACTCTTCCCAGGAGGTAGTTAATTCCAGGCATCCCTCTCTAATTTAGCACTGCCCAACAGAAATAGAATGTGAGCTGCAAATGTAATTTAAAAATTTCCAGGAACCACACTAAAAAGTAGAAGGAAACAAGTCAAATTAATTTAAAAAATATTATTTAGCCTAATGTACCCAATATATTATAATTTCAAATTGTCATCAATATAAAGATTATTAGTGCGATAGTTAACTTTTCTTGGTACTGGATCTTTGAGATCCAGTGTGTGTTTGATATTCTCCTACCCACATGTGGAGATTATCTGGCTGCCTTATGAGACAGTGCATCTCTGATTCTTACCAAAGTTTTATATAGCCCGCAAGGTGCGGCTCCTTTGCTGTAGAGCACTTTGCCTTGCCACATGGTGGGTGGAGACAGGCCTCAGCAAGATTCTGAATGCTGTGACTGCTTGTTTTCAGATGTGACTATTGGAGCCTTCATGTCCGACAGCGTGGTCCTTCTAAGGTGAGCTGCTTCATTTGTGCTTCTTGGATTACGTTCTACATGGTGGAGGGGTGGAGACACAGGGGAAGTATTTGCCATTAGTCAGCTCTCCCTCAGTCCTGTGTCCTGAAAGCTGGAGGTGCTTAGTTGGTGGGAATGTGACTTATATTTTCTCCATTATGGTTCCCCTTCCTCTATTACAACTGGTGGACGTCAAATAACTTACAACCCAGGCAGGGTGTGGGTGTGAGCCCTAGTGGTTGCCACATTTGTTCATGGATAGCTCCTTCCATTCTTGTCTTATATAAGGCATCCTCTGTGGGGGCCTACCCTAAAAAACCCAACAACTCCAGTGTTGTCCAGTGAATTCTGACGTAACAGAGACCAGGTAAGACAGAGTAGAATGGCTCCTTAGGATTTCTGGGACTAAAGCTTTCTCCTGTGGAACGGCTATGGGTTTGAACTGCCAGTCTTCCGGTTAGCAGCCCATCGCTTAACGCACTGTGACACCAGGGTGCTAAAAGAACTGGGAAATATGAGGGAACTGCATCCATTTCACCCCACACTTTTTGAGGCTGCCTTGTCGAGTCCTGCCCATCTCTTCTGTCCCTATACCCTGAATCCTTACCTCCAGTCATTCCTCAAGCATAGCTCCAGAGGGGCCCGTGCACTGGGTTCAACCATGACCTGGAACTTTTGTGATGGCCGTGAGCTCAATCCCAGTGCTTGGTGAAGTCCATGCAGTCTGGAGTCTCTCCTTACCAAGGCCACTGGGCTTGCCATCTCCAAGTGTTTCTGACGACTGAGTCAGAGGAGGCAGAGTTACATTTTGGAGAAGGAGTCAGCACTTAGGTTTTGTTAATAACCTCGTGGCAGAATGTTCTAAAATAAAGTAATTGGATCTGAGAGCTGGAAGGGGTTTCAGAGGCACTGACTCCCACACCCCAGAGTCTTCTCATTCAGCAGTGCCTCCTCTGGGTCACATAGCCTCTTCTTGGGTAAGGTGTCCATCTGGATGAAGATTTAATAACTGGAGAAACAACTTCCAGAGAACTCTGCATAGTACTGTGACTTGTTGATGAAGCAGGACAGTCTTGAGGTTAAGAGTGTGAACTCTAGGCCCAAAGGCCTGGGTTCCAAACACAATATGCTATTTCTAGATGAGCTTCCCAGGCAGACCCCCTAGCCTATTTCTGGATTCTTGTCTGTTTATTATTGTTGTTAAGTGCTGTTGAGTCAACACCAACTCATAGCAACCCAGTAGTGGGTTTCCAATGAGTAGCTGGTGGTTTTGAACCACAGATCTTGCAGTTAGCAGTCCAATGCTTATCCTGTAATGCCACACCAGGACTCATCTGTTTAGTTGTATATAATGGTCTTACTTTGTGAGATTCATCCGAGAACTATATGAGTTAATTCATACAAAATTCTTAGAACAGTGCCTGTATAAAATGCTCATTAAATGTCAGCAATTCTTACATAAATTAAGTTGAGCTTTGTTGTTGTTGTTGTTATGTGACGTGGAGTCGGTTCCGACTCATAGTGACCCTGTACAGGGTTTCCGAGGTTGTTAATCTTTACGGGAGCAGAACGCCTCATCTTTCTCCTGCGGAGTAGCTGGTAGTTTTGAACTGCTGACCTTGTGGTTTGCAGCCCGTTTCGTAACCACTATGCTAAAGTTGAGCTTTACCTTCTTAAAATTCTGCCTGAAGCTTCTGGGTGGTGCAAATGGCTGATGTGTTCACCTGCTAACTGAGAAATTGGAGGTTGGTGTCTACACAGAGGCATCTTGGAAGAAAAGCGTGGTGATCCATTTCCCAAACCTTTGCCACTGAGAGCCCTATGCTACACAATGCTACTCTGATGCACGTGGTTACTTGTGTTGGTGGTGTTGTCTATGACAAATGGTAAGGTTCTGCTTACCAGTTCTGGTCCTTCTACACAGCAGAAATTTAGTATCTGAAGGCAGCAATTGTGTCCCTGAGGTGGGGACTTCACTGAGATCAGACCCCCGGAGTTCCTTTCATTATTCCCTCATGTGACTGGATTTTACTTTCCTCATCTTCCTGTTTTCCTCATTCTGGGTTGAGTTTTCAAGCTGTTCATTAAACCAGCTTTCCTGGCTCCAAAGAATTGAGATTAGATTTGGAAAGCTGGTAGCTCTTATTGGTTTCTTCATATTATCATATTTACTCTAATCACCATCTTGGCTCCTCACTCTGGTTTGTCAGACCTCCTCTGGAATATAACAAGCTCGTTGGTTTCATGTGGTTAAAAACAGGCCCTGTTAAAACCAGCAGCACTAGGTTTAAGGTACCTCATGTATAATTTGGTTTCTCATAACTCTTACACTTTATCAACTTCTGGCTGTGAACTCGAACACAAAAGGGCTTTAATTTTTCCTTCCTTTGTGATGAGGTATCAGATTTCTCCAGAAGTTTTTCTCTTGTTGTTGGGTGCTATAAACTCATTT